TTGAGAGAAGAACAAGTGCTTTCCTCAATAAAGACCCACCCCCCCCCCAAAAAAAATCCAACTACATACCCTATTTAACCCTTCCATGTGATCTTTCTGACCATCTTTGCACCCTTTGCTCCCTTCTTCCCCAGGCCCACAGATGTGGCATTTACAAAGACCACCAACGCAAAGGGGAAGGTCTCCAATGAAGAGGCAGGAGAAGGTGAAGTTCTGCTATCTAACCAGCCCCGGAAACGGGAGCCATCCTTTCTTCGGGCCTTGCTGACCACTTTTGGACCCTACTTCCTCATCGGCTCTTTCTACAAGTTGATTCAAGACTTGCTGTCCTTTGTCAACCCCCAGCTGCTCAGGTCTGACTCTATTCTTTCAGGCGGTGGGTTTCTTTGAGCATATTTACCATGGGGCAGGAATGAATGGGGTTGAGTGGAATGATTTCATATTTTGGTGAAAGACTAACAGTCAGGAGACCTATATCAAATCCTATCTCTGACATGTATTATATCAGTTATGAGAATGTGGACAGTCCCTTTCACCACTCAGTTTCAGTTTCTCCATCTGGAAAATGAGGAAAATTAAGACTTACATCATCTACTGGGATTTTCTTTAACTACTAATACACAGAGCTGAGTCCAGGTCAGAGGGCAACACAGTGGTACACAATGGGAAAAGCATTAAATTTGGAAGAGCCAGCATGCTGGCTCTCCTAACTTGTTGTGTGACCTTGGGAAAGTCACTTCTGACATAATTTTCCTGCTCTGTAAAATGGGTTGTTTTTGATGGTGTTGTTCAGTTGTGTCTGATTCTTCATGACCCCACTGGAGAGTTTCTTGATAAAGATACTAGAGTGGTTTGCCATTTCTTTCTCCAGCTCATTTTATAGATGAAGAAACAGGGTGAAGTGACTTGCCCAGGGTCACACAGCTAGTAAATGTCTAAGGCCAGATTTGAACTTAAGTCCTGACTCCAGGCCCAGCCCTCTATCCACTGAGCCACATAGCTGCCCCAATGTGGTAGGCACAAATAGACACTTGTTGAGAACTGAATTGTAGGTTTGTACTCAAGAGAAAGTTTTCTCGTAGCTGAACCACTAGTGTTAGCCAATAGCCCTCGCTTACCCTTATGCTATTCTTTCCCCAATCTTCCTGCAGCATATTAATCCAGTTCGTTTCGAACCGTTCAGCCCCAGCCTGGTGGGGTTTCTTGGTAGCTGGACTGATGTTTGGGTGCTCCATTATACAGACTCTGATCTTGCACCAGCATTTCCAGTATGTCTTTGTGACTGGCATACGGCTTCGTGCGGGGATCACTGGTGTCATCTATCGGAAGGTCAGCTGGAAGAGGGGGAGGAGGGACTGGGTAGGATAAAGGGTTCCTCATCCTCCATCATGACTGAAGATGCTAAGCAGACCTGGGAGCCTTTGAGTTACAGTGTGTTCAGAGGTCAGTTCCCACCCCCAGCACCAAGCACACATCCCACCCATCCCTCTGCTCTGCTCTGTCTGCTTCTAGGCCCTGGTTATCACCAACTCAGCCAAGCGGTCTTCCACTCTCGGGGAGATTGTCAACCTGATGTCCGTAGATGCCCAACGATTCACAGACTTGGTCAATTTCCTCAACATGCTGTGGTCAGCACCCATGCAGATCATCCTGGCCATCTACTTCTTGTGGCAGGTGACTCCCACCTGTCGCAACCCCCCAATGCCCTTAGACTCACCTGCCACCATAATCTCCCTCCCCTCACATCAACCTTGTCACTGGTGTGACTCACCACAGTAACAGGAAGGAAACCAGCATTATCTCTGACACGGGGGGGGGGGTGGCAAGGACAAGGATGAGAGGGAGTCTGAGTCTGATCCTCTAGAGCTCTGCACTCCCCACCCCAATCCCACTACATGACTTCTTCCTTCCTTCCAGGAAACTCTATTATAGAATTGGGTTGGTCAGGATGAAGGGGGATGGGAATCTGTCTGCAGCTGGTCTCTGACTTGAACAAGGGGACCCTGGAATTGGTATAGAAGTGTGTCTCCCTCTCTCTCTGCTGGTCTGTCTCTTCTGTCTCTGTTTCTCTCTTTCTCTGACTCTCTCTCTGTGTCTCTCTCTTCCCTTCTTTCACTTTGTCTAGCTTTGTCACTGTTGAGCTGCCTGTCTGACTCACTCTGGCACTATTTGGGTCTGCCTGGTCCTCCCTGACTGCTTGGCCTTTTCTGATTATCTTTTTTGTTTGTCTTTCTTTATCTTGCCCTCTCTGGTCTGTCTGTCTTTATCTGGCTCTTTCTGTACATCTGGCTCTTCCTCATCCTCTTTGTCTAGCTCTGCCTCGTTGTCTCCGTCTGACCTTATCTGACTTTCTGTTTCTATTTGGCTCTTTCCATCTGTCTTAAATAATAATAGCTAGGTTTTATATGGGGGAAGCTAGGGGGCTCGGTGGATAGAATTCCAGACCTGGAGTCAAGAAGACCTGAGTTTGGGGCAGTTAGGTGGTGCAGTGGATAGAGCATCGACTCTGGAGTTAGGAGGGCCTGAGTTCAAATCCGACCTCAGACACATAACACTCACTAGCTTGGTGACTCTGGGCAAGTCACTTGACCCCAATTGCCTCACACACACACACACAAAAAAAATTAAAATCAACTTAAAAAAAAAAAGACCTGAGTTCAAATGTGACCTCAGACACTTACTAGCTATGTGACCCTGGACACACAGCTCTTTACCTTAAGTTATGATCTTGCACCAGCATTTCTTAACCTTAAGTCTCTTAACCTTAACCCTGTTTGCCTCAGTTTACTCATCTGTAAAATGAGTTGGAGAAGGAAATGGCAAACCACTCCAGTATCTTTGCCAAGAGAACCCCAAAGGAGGTTATGAAGAGTCAGACACAACTAAAATGACTCAAACGACAATAAAACAAAACAAGGATGATGAATGCACCTATCTTCCAGGGTTGTTATAAGAATCAAATGAAATAATAATTATAAAGCACTTGGCACAGTGCCTGGTACATAGTAGGTGCTATATCAAGCTATCATTATTATTCACATGTTCATAGCTTTAATGCTGAAAGAGATCTGAGAAGTGAGCTAGGGCAATGCTTTCATTTAATAGATGAGGAAATTGAGGGCCAGAGTCACACAGGTAATGAATGACAGATCTGCAAGACTTAAACTGAAATCCTCTGGTTTTGAATCCATTGACATTCCCCTGTGCCTCTTTTTTTTTTTAAGGCAATTGTGGTTAAGTAACTTGCCCAGGGTGACATAGCTAGTAAGTGTCAAGTGTTTGGTCTGAGGCTGGATTTGAATTCAGGTCCTCCTGACTTCAGAGTGCACTACCCCTGTGCCTCTTAAACTGCTGCTTTTGTCTCTCACTGGCCTCCCTCTCTGCCTCAGAATCTGGGTCCCTCCGTCCTGGCTGGCGTTGCTCTGATGATTTTATTGATCCCTCTTAATGGGGCCATTGCCATGAAGACCCGGGCATTCCAGGTGGGTGCCAAACCCCAATCCCAGAATAATGTGTGTGTTGGGGGGTGGGTGGGAGTCTATCTGCGACTGGTTCCTGACTTGGGGAAGAGGCTCATAGAACTGGAGTGAGGTATTATTCAGTCTCAGCTGAATTCAGTCCTTCCCTTGCCTCATCAAAATTCCCCTTCCAGAAGAAAAAGTTTTCAGGTCTCAGAGTCAAATAAGGGATAGTCAGGTATGGGGTGGGGTGGGTTGATATAGTTCCTTTCTTGTTAGCCATAATCATGGAAAATGAAGTAGCATCTCTCCCCCCCCCCAAGAATACAGTGTGTATGTTTTCAATTTATTTATCTGTGTATATTTTGCAGAACGTGAGCTCCATGAGGGCAGGCACTGTTTTCACAATTTGCTTTGTCTCTCCAGTGCCCAGCTCAGTGACTGGCACATGCCAGGCGTTGATGTAAATGTTTGTTGAATGAATTAACTGAATGAATGAATATGGACTTCCCTCTAAAACATACCCAGGTGGAACAGATGGGGTATAAGGACTCCAGAATCAAGCTAATGAGTGAGATCCTAAGTGGAATCAAGGTTCTAAAACTGTATGCTTGGGAACTCAGCTTCTCCCAGATGATAGAGAAAATCCGCCAAGGAGAGCTTCAAGTACTACGCAAGATGGCCTTCCTCAATGCAGTGTCCACCTTCACCTGGTTCAGTGCCCCCTTCCTGGTATGAGGGGGGGAGGGTGGAATAAGGAGGGATGGAAGTGACTGCCCCAAACTTTGAGACCATGATGGGGATTCTTTCAGCAGTCAGAAGTCTCTCAACAAGCGTCTTGTTGAACCTCTGGTAGATAGACACAGTTTGGGAGGAAATGGAGGCAAACAGGGCTTAGGTGACTTGGCTAAGGTCACACCGCTAATAGGTGGATTTGAACTCAAGTCTTCCTGACTCCAGGCCCAAGGCTCTATCCACTGCACCATTTAGCTGCCTCATAACTGATCCTTTCTGTTTGTCTGATTCTTCCTGGCTCTGTCTAGCTGTCTGTCTGTCTATCTAATCCTTTCTCCCTGGCTTTGTCTCTTTTTTTTTTTTGTAAGGCAATTGGGGTTAAGTGACTTGCCCAAGGTCACACAGCTAGTATGTGTCAAGTGTTTGGTCTGAGGCCAGATTTGAACTCAGGTCCTCTTGACTTCAGGGCGGGTGCTCTATCCACTGCACCACCTAGCTGCCCCCTTGGCTTTGTCTCTTGAGTGATATTTAGCTCTGAGTAGGTGTCCCCAGCCTAATATGTTCAGGAAGATTTGCACAACAATCCAATTTGAGGTACACTTAAAAAACCACTGACCTTGGATTCAGAGAATCAGAGTTTAAAATTCTCCTTTTGTTACTTACTACCGGGGTGTGACCATGAGCAAGTCACTTAATCTCACTGGCCTCAATTTCCTCATTTGTAAAATGAGGGGTTTGACTAGATGTCCTCAAAGATCCCTTCTGATTAGGATCCTATGATTTTCATCATGGCTGTAATTGGGAATCTTGACACTTGGGACAAACTCAATTTAACAGAGCTATGGGAGATGTACGGGTAGGGCTTGGAAGAGAGAGGCAATGCCATTATGTGCAGATCCAACCATGTCACGCCCCCCCCCCCCCCCCCCCCCAACTCAATAAACTCCAGTGGTTCCCTGTCACCTCCAGGATCAAATATAAAACCCTCTGTTTGGTGTGCAAAGCCCTTCACAATCTAGCTCCCCCTCCTACCTTTCCAGTCTTCTTACAGGTGTACATACCTGCACATACCCCCAACACCCTACATACTCTTTGATCCAATGGCACTGGTCTCCTTACAGTTCCATGTCTTGGCTCTGGGAATTTTCTTTGTCCCCCATGCCTGGAATGCTCTCCTTCCTTACCCTGGATTCCCTGGCTTCCTCCAAATCCCAACCAAAATCCTACCTTCTACAGGATGCCTTTCCCAAATCTTCCTTAGTTCCAGTGCCTTCTCTGTTAATTATTCCCTATTTATCCGCTATGTAGCTTGTTAATATGTATTTGTTTGCTTATCTCCCCACTAGATTTCTGAGTTCCTTGAGAGCAGAGACTACCTTTAGCCTTTCTTGATATCCTTATCCCTGTACCTGGCATGTAGTAAGCACTATGCTTTATTGACTGACTAGTCATGCCAGGAAGAAGGGTGGTCTGTTTCCTACTAGGACCTCCTCTGGCCCTTGACCAAGCCTCTTCAACCTCCCCCGGAACCTAACCCTTCCTCTCTCCCTGACCACCCACCCAACAGTGACTACAAAGAACTTAGAAGTATGGAAACTGCTCTGCAGAGAAATCTCATCCCACCGTCAGGAGGCAGTGTGCCCCCTCGATGTTAGTTCTTGGAACAAAAATCTTAGTTTTGGCTCTGACGTCAGGTATTTATCAAGCACCAACTACAGCTAGGCGCCCATTAGGGTGAATAAAGAATTCCCCCAAGTGGTTGCAACATTAGAGTTCACATTGTATATTTCTGACAGTCTAGAACCAATGATCACATTTTATACAATTATTGTTTTGAAGAATGCCAATTCCAAAACGTGAAACCATCTTAGGAAATTTGCACTCGTGTTCGTGATGCCCCAGACACCTCAAGGCTTGTTCTCACTTCCCCTTCTTCCAAATTTGATGTCAGACCCACCTCCTCCAGGAAATGGAGTCTAAATCTGCTTTCTAGTCAGAAGTTCTGCTTCCCCTAGCTCTCCACCTACCTCCCTGTCCTTCTTTGGGCTTTTCTTTCCCTGGTGGGAGGAGGAGAGACATTTGGGCCAGATGCACCATATCCTCAGACCCCCCCCCGCCCTCCCTTCCACTTACACACACTCACCTAAACTTGTAAAGTTGGTGAGTGTTCTTCAGGGATTTTCATGCCCTCCTCCTCGGACCTGAAGGTTAGTCTATCTCTCAGGTGTCCCTGATCACCTTTGCGGTCTACGTGTCAGTGGATGACAAGAACATTCTGGATGCACAGAAGGCCTTCGTGTCTTTGTCGCTGTTCAATATCCTAAAGTTTCCTCTTAACGCCTTGCCCCAGGTCATCAGCATCTTGACTCAGGTAACAACCGACTCTGGGGCTCTAGGGAGGTCAGTCACTCAGAGTCAGGGGAGGGAGATGTCATTCGGGGGTCAGGCAATAGTCTCGTGGGGGTCCAAGGTTGCTCATAAGTAGCCAACCCTCTGGTGACTGGAATACTGAAGTGGGTTCCCTATAGTGCTGCCCGAGTGCTCAGGCTGGCCTGGAGGACAGGGAGAAAGGTATTTTAGCTGGAACCACAGACCCAAGCCAGGAGAGGTAATGAGGGCACAGCACAGAGCTCTGAACTCTGTGCTTCCTTTCTGGCTGGAGCAGGGGGCACAGGGAACAGTGGCTTGCACAGAGGCCTTAATGTTCCCTCCACCTCCTCAGACTAGCGTTTCTCTGAAACGTATCCAGCATTTCTTGAACCATGAAGAGCTCGACCCCCAGTGTGTAGAAACAAAGACCATTTCTCCAGGTCCGTAGCCTCTTTTCCAAGCTCACCTCATTCCTCTCCTTCTCCATTTGGCACATTTTCCTCCCCAGGCTTCCCCTTTCTCCAGAAAATCCCTTAATCCGCAGTTTCCTTGTTTTTCTCCATTGGCTCCTCCTCTTCCTCTTTTTCCCTTCTGCTTTGGTGCTCCCAAGGCTTCCTACCCACCCAGTCCCCTCTCCCTGTCTTCATCTTCCTTCGTTCCCTGCTTTCTTTACCCTACCATCCTCCAAATCCCCGCTTCTTCCCTACACCCCCTGCTCCCCGCCCCCATCACATTTGCTGGCTTTCAGCATGCTTGCACATCACTCCCAATTAGTCTCTGAGTCTCCTTAACCTCTCTTTAGGATTCTATAACTCCTGGCACACTCTCAATGCCCCCAGGACTCCCTGTCTTCTCCATTACTTCCTGTCATTCCCTTGATGCCCCTCAGCCCCACCCCCTCACGTGCTCTGAGGAATCCATGGCATCCCAGCACTCCTTTCCCCTTAAATCCACATTCATGGACCCCTGCCCACCCACATCCCTGCCTGTTATTCTCATCCTTTCTTTAATCTTTTCCCTCTAAGACTCCCATGGACCTCCACCCCCATCATGCCCTACCATTACCTGAGTCTACATTAATCCTTCCTAGCATTCTATTACTCCTATAATTTCTTACCCATCTTAATCCCCTCAGGACTCCTCACACACTCCTCTGCATACACATACAAAATGCCTAGAGTATTCCATGGTACCGCATTCTCTTTACACCCCCCAGGGCTCCCTGATCCCTTCCTCCCCTTACTCCATGGCTCCCTATTGCTCTCTTCTTTCAATCAGTCTGGCTTTCTGTCCACCCCTACCCCCATCACTCCTTCTCATTCTCTGAGCCCCTCTTATCCCCTCCTAGAATTCTATGCTCACTCTAAATCTTGTCCACACTTAATCTTCTCCCACTTCCCTGCCTTCCTTCTCATTTCTCCTTATGCTATCCCTCCAGGTTCTCTGTGTTTTCTGAGTCCTTATTCTTTCCCCCCCTTAATCATCCCTGCAGGGCTCCCTGCCTTTCCCCATCACCCTCTCCCTACAGTCCCATACCCTTCCCCCTACCCCAGCCCATACTCTCTCTCATAATGGCAAACACCCCTATTACTACAGGCCATGCCATCACCATAGAAAATGGCAGTTTTACTTGGGCCCAGGACCTTCCCGCATGTCTGCACAGGTAAAAGCTGCTCTCCCCCTCAGCCATCTCAACACCTCCTTCCGCACCCTCCTGATGACAAAGAGGGGCAAAAGGGTAGATCAACTTGGACAGATATTTTTATCCACAATTGTTCTGGCTCCAGAAACTTTGGTGTTTAATTTAAGGATAGGTTGACCTGGTTGCAATTTGATTTCTGACATGCATAGGGGGTGTCTGGAGTAGGGGGAAGTGTTGAATTTCCAGGATGAGGAGGCTGGAAATGAGAATTGGGTTCTTTTCTGCACACGCATCCCAGCTCACTCTGGACTCTTGGTTCTCCCTCCTCCCAACTAGCCTGAATCTCCAAGTGCCAAAAGGGTCACTGGTGGCCATAGTGGGGCCTGTGGGCTGTGGGAAGACCTCCCTTATATCTGCCTTGCTGGGGGAGATGGAGAAGTTGGAGGGCAAAGTGGCTGTAAAGGTCAGTAAGGTGTCAAAGAGGCTGTAAAGGACCTGGGGTGATTGGAGGCTGAGATAAGGGAGGGATGGGTCAGGGTGAAGGTAGGTATGGTTTGATGGGAGAAGAGTCTTGGAGGGGAGTTCACCCCTTCAGAGTGGGGAGGATGGTGAGTAGGCCATAGCTGGGTCTTGTCTCAAGTCCCTCACTCCTGAGCCCCATGTTCCTGTGGTGACCCTGAGTGCTGTGGCCAGGGCTCCGTGGCCTACGTGCCCCAGCAGGCGTGGATTCAGAATGCCACGCTCCAGGACAACGTCCTCTTTGGCCAGCCGATGGACCAGAAGCGATACCAAGGCATCCTTGAGGCCTGTGCTCTGCTCACTGACCTGGATGTACTGCCTGGAGGAGATCAGACTGAGATTGGGGAGAAGGTGGGACATGTTTCTTGACCCTTCCTCAGAGGCAGGGGATGACCCCACCCATCCAGATATACTCTGTTACCTCCTTGACACATGCTCTCAGCCGCCTCCTTCTACTTCCAGCAATATGGTGTAGTGGGAAGATAATCAAGAAAGCCCACTGTTAGAATCTTGCCTCAGTCCCTTACTAGCTGTGCAGCCCTGGGCAAATCACTTTCACTGAGTCTCAGTTTCTAAATCTATAAAATGGGGATAATAATGGCTCCTGCCTCATAGAGTTGTTGTGAGGATCAAATGAAATAAGATGTATAAAACCATATATAAATATTTGCCACTATTATTATGCACATCTCTCCCTGATCCCTGTGATAACTCTCACGAAAAATTCCCTAACAGACTATTCACCTCAACTCCAACCTCTTACAGAGATAGGAATCTTGACCTAAACCTCCCCCAACACGTGTACTGAGCCCTCAATGATAATATTAATGATTAATGGTGAACTCACTATTTTGGAGTACCTTGGAGCTTGTCAAGTGCTGTCCTCACCAAAGTCCTGTGAGGTAGTCAGTGCACGTCCCCTTCTCCTCATTTTACAGAAGAGGAAACTGAGGATCAGAGATATGAAGTCACTTGCCCTGGGTCAGTCACTTAGCTGTACTCCAAGCATCAATGGCATGATTCAAATCCAGAACCCCTGGCTCCAAGTCCATCACCCTTTCCATTCTCACCCTGGCTTTTATAACCTATACAATCATCAAAAAATATACAGTGAGAAGTCATGTGATCAAGTGGAAAGAACTGTGTATGTGGAATCAGGAAAAACCTGGATTAATGTCCCTTAGAACATCTAATTGCAGGGGTGTGCTGCTAAATGTTTAACGACCAGCTGGGAGTAGGGGGGAATGTGTGCAGGACATACTTTTCAGTGTAATTTGCATCATTAACATTTCTCCATCACTTTCTTAAGTTTAGACAATCAACAAAACAGTAGATCAAACCTTGATTTATAGCATTTGCTGGTATCCAAGGTGTAAATGCTCAGGGTGAAAATCTAACAATCCTATCAGTTATGACCTGGCTCCGGCACACCCCTGCTTACTTTCCCAAAGACCTGGACAGATCACTTGGCCTCTCTGTGATTCAATCTCCTCATCATAAAATGGAGATAAAACAGATTATCCATCTACTTACAGGATTGTTGTGAGGATTAAGTGAGCCAATGTGAGTAAAATACTTACTCTGGACAACCTAAAGTGCTTTATAAATGTTAGTTATTAGTAGGTTAGAGATAGGGACTGGACCTGTGATTTTACGACATTGAGAACTCCCAGAAGAGAAAACTCTCTCCACTAGCACAGTTTGGTACGTCTTCTGAAACTTCTAGTCTTGGAGAATTGCCTGGAGTGATGAGAGGGTAAGGACCTGTCCAAAGTCACACAGTCAGTATCAGTGGCAGTGGCAGGGCATGCACAGTTATTATCATAACAACATTATTATTATATTAAATAATGCAAATTTAATATAATAATATTATAATAACATCATAATATCCTATTAAATGGTAGCAATTTAGTATCATAATACTATTATAACTGTATAATTGTCATCATAACAACAATAATAATACATAATCAACCAGCATTTATTAAGTATCTGCTATATACCAGGCTCTGGGTCTGGGTCTTCAAAGACAAAAAGGAAATAGTTTCTGCTGTAATAGAATGTAATATTCTGTAAGAGGAGAGAGCACATACACATATAAGTGGATTTGGTGTGTCCCCAAAGTCTTAGTGCAGTTTTAGTTTTAACAGCTTAAACTGCACTAAGACTTCTGGGACATCTTGTATAAGCTAAATTACAAGGTTATTTATAGGGAGTGATTTTCAGCTACAGGTGAAGGGAGGAGGGAAGGAAGGAAAAAAAGGAAAGAAGGAAGGAGAAAGAAGGAAGGGATGGAAGAAGGATGGTAGAGAAGGAAAGAAGGAAGGAGAAGGAAAGGAGGGAAGAAAGGAAGGAAAGAAACAAGCCTTTATTAAGAAGCTATTATGTGCCAGGCACTGGGCTAAGTGCTTTTTACAAATATTATCCCATCCGAGCTTCACAACAACATTGGGAGGTAGGTGATATTATTATCCCCATTTTACAGAAGAGGAAACTGAGACAGACAGCAGGGTTAAGTGACTAGCCCAGGATCACATAGCTAGTTAAGTGTCTGAGGCTGGATTTGAACTCTGGTCTTCCTGATTGTAAGCCCAGTGCTTTATCTACTGTGTTACTGTCCACCTCTAGAGGATCAGGAAGGGCCTCATGCAGGAGATGTCACTTGAGCTCATGGGTACAATAATGCTAAAAGGGAACTGCCTATTGGGAACCAGAAAGACCTGACCAGGTGACCTTGGGCCAATGACCTGACTCTCAGGACCTTAATCCTTTCTACCTAGCATTCCTCTTACAGCACTTTGACAAGGGATATCAATGACATCAATGACATGACATCATTAAATACAATGACACTCCCCTTACCCCTTCAAAACACACTCAGCCTCCTGAAGGTGTGACCTTCTAGGTTTCCAGGACACACCTTCAGTCCCCTAGACACATTAACCTTTAGTCCACATGCCTGTCTCTGAGGCCACAGCCAAAGATTTCTGGAGCAGGTGGTTTTCTCTTCTGCTGCCTACCCCTCACCTTGTACCTGTTCCCCTAAAGGGGACGAGGCTTTCTAACACAACAAAAGGATTCCCATAGTCAGGGCCTATCTCCCCTGGGGCTGAGAGATGGATGAAATAGGGTGGTTGGAGGTTGGACTTCTTTCCCTGAAAACGGGAAGGATGCAGGAGGGACCAGCGGAATAGCTTCCTGCTCTGTGACCTGGACCCAGCCCCTCTATTCCCAGGGAGCTTCCCCACAACCCTTGGCCGGGGTGTCAAAGGGATAATGGATTGCAGGGCTTGGATGTTAACAAGTTCCTCCTTAGAGGCTTCTGGCTCTCAGGACATTAAAAGGACTGTGCTCTGATCCTGGCACGGGGGGACCTTGAAGGGTGAGAACAGTGGGACTAGACAAAGAGCATCTAAGTTGTTACCTGCCCCACCTCTGGGTATATGAGGAAAAAGGACGGAGTTCATACACTTAGAGCTGGAAGGGATCTTTGAGGTCATTGAGTCCAACCCGCTTATTTAACTAATGAAGAAACTGAGACCTAGAGAGGGTAAATGGCTTGCCCACCAGGATCACACAGCTGGTAAGTATCTGAGATGGGATTTGAACCCACGTCTTTGTTCCTGATATCAAGTCCAATTCTCTACCCACCATGTTGGATGCTCAGGTCCTTTAAATACAGCACAGAATTTATGGGATCATAAGGGCAGAGAGGCATTTTCTCTAAACCTGTTGCCTCTCTCTGTGACTGTGAGTAGGTCATTTTAATTCTTCATGTTCCCATTTTCCTCCCCCAACAGAAAAGAGATAGTAATCTCTTTAACCTTTCACCCTATCCCCACATACATGTATACATACAGTATACCTCTTAAATTCAGATAGTAACTCCCTACCCTTTATTCATCTTGGGGCAGCTGGTGGCATAGTGTAGAGCTCTGGGCTTGGAATCAGGAAGACCTGAGTTCAAATCCAGCCCTCAGATACTTGCTAGCTGTATGACCCTGAGCAAGTCACTTAACTTTTGTTTGCCTAAACTTCTTTAGCTGTAATGTAGAGATAATAATAATAATAATATTACCTGCAGGCCCGGGTATTTGTGAGGATCAAATGAAATAATAATTGTAAAAAGCACTCAGCATAGTGCCTGGTATGTAGTAGGTACCATATAAATGCTTATTCCTTCCTCACCCCTCCCACTCCTATCCCCCCAGCATTCTTGTGAGGGTCAACCAAGATATTTGTAAAGCACTTTGAAAATCTTAAAGCAGGGGTGGGGAACCTGAGGCCTCAAGGCCACTTGTGGCCCTCTAAGTCCTCAAGTTTGGCCCTTTGACTGAATCCAGACTTCACAGAACAAATCCCCTTAATAAAAGGATTTGTTCTGTAAAACTTGGACTCAGTCAAAAGTCCAGGCCACATGTGGCCTTGAGGCCGAAGGTTCCCCACTCTTGCCTTAAAGTGCTATGGAAGCGCTCACTACTGTTATTGTTGTTATTATTATCTTTGTTCTAGGGTATTAACTTGTCTGGGGGTCAGCGGCAGCGGGTCAGCCTGGCCCGAGCTGTCTACAGTGATGCTGATATCTTCCTCCTGGATGACCCGCTCTCTGCTGTGGACTCCCATGTGGCCAAGCACATCTTTGATCATGTCATTGGGCCAGGTGGGGTGCTAGGAGGCAAGGTAAGAGTTGAGGGGATGAAATGGCAAGAGTTGAAGAGAGTCCATTTAAAGACTCTGTATATAAAGGCCCCTGACAACTCAAATGCATACAGGTGAAATGTCTGTTTCCATACCTCATCTCGTGCATTTGCCCTGATGTTGCATCTGTAGAGACTCGTCAAGGTACTCTGTGTGTGTGATCACAGATCATAGCCTGTTAAAGTTAGAAGGGACCTCAGGGGCCTCTACTCCAACCTGACCACCACTTGAAGACCTCTAGTGATGGAGAACCCATTACCTCTCAATGTAGATCATTCCACTTAGGTTGTTGTTGTTCAGTTGTTTTCAGTCATGTTTGACTCTTCATGACCCCATTTTGGGGTTTTCTTGGCAAAGATACTGGAGTGGTTTGCCATTTCCTTCTTCAGCTCATTTCACAGATGAAGAAACTAAGGCAAAGAGGGTTAAGTGACTTGCCCAGGGTCACACAGCTAGTAAGTGCTGAGACTGGATTTGAACTCAGGAAAATTAGTCTTGCTGACTCCAGGCCCAACATTCTATCTACTGTGCCACTCAGATGCCCTATTCTATTTACAGGCAACCCTAATTATTAGGAAACTTTTTCTAGAATTGAAATTATCTGCAACATCCATCCAGTTGTATGTTTATTACTACTACTAGTACTAGTACTACTACTAGTACTACTACTAATACTGTTACTACTAATAATAATGATAATGATAATAAAATGTGAATGTGGCAGTAAACCTATAATGTCTCATCTTCCTTCCAGACAAGGATTCTGGTGACACATGGTGTGAGCTTCCTGTCCCAGGCAGACCTCATCATTGTGCTGGGTGATGGGCGGGTGTCTGAAGCTGGCTCCTTCTCTGCCTTGCTCCAGCAAGAGGGTGCTTTTGCTGAATTTCTTCGTAACTATGTTCCTGATGATGACAACTTTCAAGAAGAGGATAGTGCCACTGGTATTAGCCTATATACCAATGCTATTTGTCTCCGAATTCCCCTTTCCCTTGTCTCATATGGACTCTTATCCCATTTGCTCCTCACTGCTGCCTCTTTTCCCTCCATCTCTCCATGATTCCCTCTTCAACCCTCCCTGTTTTTCTCTCCATGTCTCTCTCCATCCTTTCATGTATCTCAACAACTTAACTCAACAAATATTTATTAAGTATGTGTAATTTTGGACATGCTGAGTTTGAGCTGCCCATGGGACCATCTAGGTCAAAACTCTAGGGGCTAATTGGGAATTTGGGTCTGAATATTCAAATAGAGGCTTCTTTTAGAGATACAGGTTTTGGAGTCATCCACATAGAGGTAAGAGTTGAAGCCACGGGAGTAGACGAGGTCCTCAAGAGAGAGGGGTGTAGAGAAAAAAAGAGAAAAGAGTTGATAACTTGGGGTATGTCTACATTTAGAAGAAGAGAAAGAATCTGAAAAGATGAAGAGAATTTGGTGGACAATTGCAGAGTATAATATCAACCCCTTAACACATACTGAACCTCCTTTTGCTCCTTCTGAACACCCCCCCCCCTCTTCCTTTCAATATGCATACACTCAATGTCTAATGAGTATAGTGTCACAGAGACCAAAGAAGGAGGGGTAGCCAGGAGGGAGAAGGTGGTCGACAGTGTTACATTCTTCTGAGGACTGAAGGAGGATGAGGACTAAGGGAAATGTACTTCTTTCATCCATTGGCTGTGTGATCTTATTCAAATCACTTAACCTTTCTAAGCCTCAAGTTCATCACCAGTCAATCAGTCAGTTAACAAGCATTTATTAAGCATTTACTATGTGCCAGGCACTGTGCTAAGTAATGGAGTTTGGACCAGTTCTTCTGGAGTCCCTTTGGAAAGGGTTCAGTGTGTGTGTTCAAAGGCTGACACAGTACTCGTGGACCAACCTCTCCAGACCAGCTTCTCTGACTACTTTTTCTCCTATCCCACTAAACATGTGCATCCCCCAAAGCTCTGTCATTGACCCTGTTCTCTTCTTTATGCCCCCCTCCTTGGGAATCTTATCTCCTCTAAAGTCCTAGCTCTAAATCTCATCCTTCTATGTTTCTACTTATTGAGTAGTAGGTCTCAGAGGACTTCTGTGACAGCAGTTTCAGAGTAAGTTGGTGGGGACAGAGTTAATCTATCAACATTACTAAGCACCTACTTTATGCCAGATATTGTACTGAGGATGTAACTATCATGAGCAAAATAATCCCTACATTCAAGGAGTTTGAATTTTAATGGAGGAAATAAAAAGTTCATATTTAAATCTATAAAGAACAAATATAAAGATAATAAATACAAAGTAATTAAATACAACCTAATTTGGGAGGGAGGGAGAATATTAGGACCAGTGGGGAGGGGGAATCACAAGCCAAATTGCAAGGAGATGAAGAAGGATAGAGTGAAGAAGGTGGGGGCAGTAGAGGTAATAAGTCATTTTTTTCTTAAAGAAAATTGATAGTGATGAAGAGGAGAAAGATGAAGGTGTTAATTTAGTTTTAGGGAGAAAACTCAGGACTTCTTTCTTCCCAGCTTTCTCTCTTTATCTCTCTATCTTGCTTTTAGTACACCCCACCCCATCCCCAATTATAAGGGTTATCAGGCTAAACTTCCTTATCTGAGAGGTGATAGCTCTAGAAAGGGGCTTTTTTTTTTTTTTTAGCTTTCAAATAGAAAAAAGGTATCTTCCTTGCCTGCCAGAAAGCTCATTTAGCTTACCTACCCTCCTCCACCCCCACTGTCAAAGTCACTCATTCAGAGGAAACCTTTCTATTTATGAAGAAACATACCTGTCTGTTCAGGGTATCAGCCTTCTTTATCTCACCCTTATCCTAAAGATAGCCTGGCATGATGGATAAGAGTAATGGCTTGGAGTCAGAAGGGTTCACATCCTATCTGTGTGACCTTAAGTAATCGAGCATGTGTTAAATGTTCACCATGCACAAGACTCAATGCTAAGTGTTGGGGATCCCCCCCCCAAAAAAGGCAAAAACATCCCCTGCCCTCAAGGAGCTTAAGTTCTAGTGGGGGAATCAACATATACATAGATCAGTAAATACAGGATAAACACAGAGGAGATGGAAGGTAGACTTGGAGGGGAAGGCGTCAGCAGCTCGGGACAAGTCACATAACCTCTCTGGGCTTCAGTTTCCTTATCAGGAGAATGATGGCACTGAGCTAGCTAACCTCTCAGGTCCCTTCCAGCTCTAAAACTATGATCCTAACATCCTGTTGTCTAACCTAAATTTCTCTTGCTATAGTTTTAGCCCACTGATTCTAGTTTTCTTTTTATTGGCCTAGTCCTTCCCACCTCCCCCAGCCTCCTCTCACCAGCTTTTGTTCTCCTCCTTGCTGGGAGAGGTAGTGCTTTGAGGTCAGGTTAGTCATGGTATTTGAGCATTCTCCTCTCTCTTTGTCCCTCCCTCCCCGCTGCAGTCTTGCCCAATGAGGAGATATTGCTGATGGAGGACACACTCAGTAATCACACAGACCTGACAGATAACGAGCCAGTTACCAATGAGGTCCGAAAACAGTTCATGAGGTGAGTGAACAGGAGCTCCTTTCCTGATTTCCCCAATGCCAGCAGACTCTGACCTCCTATGCACCTCTTTCTGGGCACAGCAAAACCAAGTGGCCAAGCCTCTGCATAAAGAGGAACTCCCTGTGCCCCTCTGGGGGTGGAGGGAGAATGTGGATGTTGGAAAGTTCTCTGACATCTGCTCCTCTAGGATTCATGCTGCAGAGTGGTCTCATCTCTGGTTCTCTATCCCTCTGAGCTCCTCAGAGAGTCCCAGTTTACTAGGTTAGGGTGAGATGGGGAAAGACAAAAGATCTCCTCTGGGGACTGACAAGGGCTGTTCCCCTGCCCCTTTCCTACCCCAACTTAGAGATTGTTGTCCCCAGGCAGCTGAGCACGCTCTCCTCAGAAGGAGAGGGCCCTGGTCGACCTTCCACTAGGAGACGTGTGGGGCCTGTGGAGAAGAAAAAGACCCTGGAGTCTGCAGTGACCCGTGGAGAGCTGATCCAGGCAGAGACAGCAGAGATGGGCACTGTGAGAGGGGACTGGGGGAGGGAGGCAAAGATGGAAAAAGGGTGCTTAGGTCAGGGGGAGGACCACTGTGGTAGACTTTTGGAGGTGGGGAGAAGCTGGGGGTGAGAAGAGTTGGATTAACAATACAGAGCCTTGGGTGAGGTTGTCCTGGGATGTTGGAGAATGGTGAGAAAGAGACCCTGGTCTCAGTGTCATGGGGGGGGGGGGGGGGGAAGGGACAATTTAAACTCCTGGGAGGTCCTTAAATCCGTGGCCCACTTCCCATCCCTCTGGGTCAGATGGCTCTGGATGTTGCTAGATATCAGCCTTCCTCGCTCTACAGGTGAAGCTGAGTGTGTTCTGGGCCTATGCCAAAGCCGTGGGGCTCTGCATCTCTGTGACTGTCTGCTTTCTATACACGTGCCAAAGTGCTGCCGCCATTGGGGCCAATATATGGCTCAGTGACTGGACTAATGAACCTGTAATTAATGGCACACAGAGCAACACAAGCCTACGCCTGGGCGTGTATGCAGCCCTGGGAATATTGCAAGGTAAAGAGAGGGGTCTTCTGTACCCTCTCAGGAGGGGAGGCAATCACTCACTGGGGCCATTGCCCTTAGGGTGGAGGGGTCAAAGGGAGGGACAGAGAAGCCATCCTGTCCCTCCTTCTGTCTCAAAGCTAATTTTAATTCAACAAACGTTTACTTGGTACATGGCTTCTTAACCTGGGGTCCATAGATTTTTTTTAAGTATTTTGATAACTTATTTCTATATAATTGACTTCCTTTGTAATCCAATATATTTGATTTTGTGCACTTAAAAATCACTGTCCTCATGTGGAAGTGATTATTGATAAATCAAAATAAATTAATAAAAATTAAAAAAAAAAAAGAAAAAAATCATTGTCCTGAGAAGCAAGGCATAGGTTTTACCGGACTGCTAACAGGGTCCACAGAAAAAAGATTAACCCCTGAGTCTTAGCAGCTTACATAACACTGTCCTGGGTGCTAGAGAAACAAAGATAGGAAATGATACATTTCTGCTTGGGAGAGAGGGGACAGGTCATTGAATCCTTCTTCTTGGTACCCCAGTTCTGAAAGATGCCACCTTCTCTTCCTCCTTGCCAGGTATCTTTGTGATGATGTCATCTTTCACACTGGCCATAGGAGGCATCCAAGCCGCCCGGACACTCCATAACAACCTACTAGCCAACAAGATGCATTCACCCCAGTTCTTCTATGACACAACCCCCTCAGGGCGAATCCTCAATAGGTTCTCCAAGGACATTTATGTTATTGATGAGGTCATCCCCCCCACCATCCTCATGCTGCTTGGGACCTTTTTCAATTCAGCATCCACACTCGTGGTCATCATGTCTAGCACTCCGCTTTTTGTCGTGGTTATCTTGCCCCTCGCTGGGCTGTACATATTTGTACAGGTACCTAGGGCTGATGGGGGGAAGGAGAAGAGGTACTGGGGTGACAATCGCCTTAGAGGAACAAGGGCACAGGAGACTGGGAAAGAAGAAAGACTAGCTGGAGGGAGGAAGGTACATAGGAGTTCTATACTGAGGTTTTATCAGAGGTCTAATAAGGCTTCTGGACTGGTATGTGTGTCCAGAGGTTGGGGAAGGAGTAACCTTCTGTTGCTATCAACATTGACATTCAGCTTTTCAAAAATGACCACCAGAGTGACTGTGAATCTGGGGTTCCCAGGGGGATGGGGTACAGCCAGAAGGCTGAGTGGGGCATTGGGAGGGATAGAGGATGATGATTCAGAGGGGTTTGATGGATACTCTTTTGCCCTTGCTTCTAATGTCTTTCTCCACCCTGCAGCGGTTCTATGCGGCCACTTCGAGGCAACTGAAGCGCCTGGAATCAGTCAGCCGTTCACCCATCTATTCTCACTTTTCGGAGACTGTGACAGGTGCCAGTGTCATCCGCGCTTACAGACGTAGTCAGGACTTCATGGCCATCAGTGATGCTAAGGTGGATGCCAATCAGAAGAGCTGCTATCCCAACATCATTTCTAACCGGTCAGAAGTGCTCTCAGCCCACCTTTCTCCTGCCCTTGATCTGGCCTATTACCTCTGACACCCTGTCCCCTACCTCTGATACCCCATCCCCTCTGAGCTCCTCACGACTAAACCCTATCACTTCGGAATCCCTGGTGTCCCACCATAATCCCTGGACCATCTCTGATAGTCTGTCACCATCTTGATCTTTGACCTCCCTATTTATGAATCCCTCCCTAGGTGGCTGGGAATCCGTGTGGAGTTTGTGGGTAATTGCGTTGTGTTTTTTGCTGCACTTTTTGCTGTGATTGGCAGACAGAGCCTGAATCCAGGATTAGTTGGCCTCTCCGTGTCCTATGCACTGCAGGTAGGAGCCCTCTCCAGTTCTGTGGAGCTGTTGGGGACGGGG